GAGGTGGTAGAGATCCTCAGGCAGGTCGGGGGCCAGGCCTTTGGACTTTAGGATCCTAAGGATTTTGTTGCCAGTGACGAAACGCACCTGAGCAACACCATGGGAATCCCTCAGGATCACACCTAATAAGAAAAGAAAGCATTGACTTAAAACTGTGCAGACATCACAGGCTTCCACAGACTATATACAAATATAAAAACAGGCATATACACTGATTTGATTTACTTTTATCAGATCAAGCAATGAGCCAATCCACTTGAGTTGTGGCTTGGCATGGGATTATAACCAAAACCTTGGTTTGAAAAAGTCAAGGTTTTGAAACAGCAACCATTTTCTGTTATACCGTTTCTAAGGTAAAATTAAATTTTTTTTTTTATGTATTGTAAAGAAATCTGTAATTTTGAAACAAATATAATAGAAGTTCATTTATGTTTATTAATTAGCCAGACATGTTCATGGTTCCAAAGCATTGTTTCATAAAACAAAATGTATATTGTTCAATTTAGGTAAACGTTTTGGTTTCTTAGCAAGACATTTAAACAGAACTTTTTTTAGAGCAGTAATCACAAACCATGAATCGTGAACCGTGATTTTTATTCAAGGTTATCATACTGTCAGAAACTAAGTCCAAGTTTCCAAGTCCAAGCCTTTCTTCTTTAAAGATGAGAGCCCCATCTCAATACCAGTATAATATCACAGTTTAAAGCTGCAGCATGTGGCTTAACATTTAATGAGCAAGCACAACAAGATTCAGATATTTTTGTCTTATCCTCAGTTCAATAATATTTATATTTTGGCTATTTGAGCTGTTTGGTCGATCCCTGCTGCGGGGAAACTAGTACTTCCAAGACTTGAATATTTGGTCTAAAATGCCATGCAAGTATGACTTCAAAACTTAATTAGCACTATTTCATGGACCGTGAACAATGCTGTTCTTTGATAGTCTTTGACTGCTAGTATGTTCTCCCTACTTAGTGTGCAAAGAATAGTTTTCTGGAATTCTATTAATTAAGGAGAAAGTGCAGATGTGGGAATATAAAACCAACTTCACATCAATAAGTTTTTAAATGAACAATAAAAGGATAAATGAAAGTCCTTTGTAAAACCAGCACACATGTATTACTGAAATTCTTGATCCTAAAAGATACAAACTTTTGTTTTGTTATAAGGCCTGTATTGTCAATCAGAACTTACCGATCTGAGAGGGGGTCAGACCCTTCTTGGCCAGTTTAAAGATTTGCTCTTTAACATCATCAGATGTCAATTTGAGCCACTAAAACACAAAATAATGGGATATTTTTACAGCTGTGACAATTAACAATTAATCAGATGAAAAAAAAATTTGAGTCAATAGACTTACTGTGGGGACACTTCGCCTATAGGGCAGTGCCGACTGGGACAAGCCCTTGCTGAAAAATAATAAAACATTCAAAATGTGAATTATGTGATCTACAAGAAACATTAATTTAGAAGACATGACAATTTCACCAAGTTAGCTTGTCAACAAAAACTACATAGTAAACAATAACTGACAACAAAAACTAAGACAAGTATATACACGTACAAGTTACAACTTCAAGAACAAAGGAGAAAAAAAAATAACCGAGTAAAAAAAATTAACATTAGTGTAGATTTAGATACTTCTACAAATAATTGATTTAACGTTAAATGTATGAGGTCTGACCCGCCCGAACCGACAAACACATCTGGCACATAAACATGCGTTATGTAAATCTGAGCGACAAAATACCCAAACCGTAAAAACACAGACCCGACGGCATAATTAACAGAACCATTACTAAGAGTTTCTCTCATGTGTTCATCCTGCAGCGCCTCGTACAACATGTGCTGCCATCACGCTCCACAGAGGAAGAGAACGTGGGATCACTCCGACTGCTCAAAAACGCTTTTCTAGCTCCGATGAAATAACAATTTCGGGTTCGGTCCATGTTATAAAGTGTTAACAGCGTTTTAGGACGGTGTTGAGAATAAATAAAGGTGTTTTTAGTGTAAAATAAAACATTTACCCAGGAGCATGCATACGACCCATGATGGCGGTTTTAAGAGCGAGGATAGAGAAAGACCGAGCTAAGGCCGAGAGGAAGTGAAGTAGGGCGCCGGAAGTGACGTAAAATATTACTTCCTGTCTGTTGATCTCATATATTTCTAAGATTTTTATTTAACATTGATTAATTCATTTATTTCTTCTGTGTTGTTTAAGAAATTTAACATTAAAATTGTGTCCTTTTTATTTTTTGCTTTTCATATGCATGCAGATGTACCGCAAAATGTTTATATATTAGGCTATATACATTATTTATTCGGATTTATTGTTGTTTTGCTATATATTTTTCACATTTATTTATTTACTTATTTATTTTCATCTTACATTTCAGGTTTTTTTCAGGGGGGAAAATACAAATATACTGATATCTCTCTCTCTCTCTCTCACTCTCTCTCACACAAAATTTTTTTGACTATTTTATGACTATATTTTTATAAATATATTTCATATATGACCACATATCTACATAATTTAATCTTAATGATCATACAATTATATAATCAGAAATTAGATTTCCTATCATCAATCAGGGAAGGGTGTATAGCCCAGTGGGTAGCGCTGTCGACGCACAGCAAGAAGGTCGTTGGTTCGAGCCTCGGCTGGGTCAGTTGGCATTTCTATGTGGAGACTGCATGTTCTCCCCGTGTTGATGTGGGTTTCCTCCAGGTCCACAAGTTTTTTTCCCACAGCTAGGTGAATTGGGTAAGCTAAACTGGCCATAGTGTATGTGTGTGAATGAGAGTGTATGGGTATTTCCTACTGATGGGTTGCAGCTGGAAGGGCATCCGCTTCGTAAAACATATGCTGGATAAGTTGGCGGTTCATTCCGCTGTGGCGATCCCTCCTTAATAAAGGAACTAAGCCAAAATGAATGAATGAATGATTCGGGGATTCTTCTCTCATTTCAAGCCATTGTATTTTGAGTTAGAAAGATTTTTTTGTCTTGTTAATTGTCCTGGTTATTTTGTGCTTTAATTGTCTTCTCATTAAAAAACTAAACATTTTTTTCAAATCCACCAACTGGTGGCGCTCCAGGAAAACCTGGCTGATGTAAGCATGACTGCAAAAGTATAAAAAGCTGTAGAAATATAGAATGAACAGATAAAACAGCTCCACCCAACAGCATTCCCAACTGGGCGGAGCATAGCACCTCGGGTGTGTGTGTGTGTGTGTTTTATTATGATACAGACATCTTAACTCAAATTGTATATTAAACCAACTGTAATATGTTCTACTTTTGAACATTGGTCAGGATGGATCAATATAAGCAAATTGTGTAGACTACCAGATATCACAATTAAATGGATAGACAGTTCACCCAAAAATGAAAACTCTTGTCATCATTTACTCATCCTTTATTTGTTCAAAACCGGTTTGAGTTTTTTTCTTCTACTGAACACAAGATATATAGTGAATGGTAGTTGTGTTATGTCAAATTTTCAGACAAGCTTGAGAGTTGAATATAAACCAATGCAAATTACTACAGAAAAGGCCAATAGTGTCTGACAAGCTGAAATATGCATTCCATGTTATTCTGGATATTACATATATTCTTAATATTCTAAAATAAAACTAAAAACTTTGAACACAGATGAAGAGGATGACTATAAAATAAGTGAACTAACTTATCTCTATAGTAACAGCGTACCAACGAGCTGTCACTAGAAAACATTTCCAGATATGATTTTCTTCGTTATTTGTAATGTGAGGGCTTACAGTGTATTGCATGTGAGTGAATATAATATAATATAGAATATAATATAATAAACATAGAAAAATCAATGGGTGCAGCTTTCCGTGCCCCAAATGTCCAGAATACATTGTGCTGTAAAGACATATTCTTAGTTTTCATTACTGAAGAATGTGGGGGGGAAACAGTGACTGACATTTTAAGTACATTTTTGTTCCTGGAAACCTTTTTCCAACATTCTTATACATTGCTTTGTTTTTAACTATACATTGCTTTGTTTTTAATGTTCAATTTTAAAAATGTTTCCAACAGGAAAACCAATTAACAATCAAGAATGCATGATTATGTGGTCAGGGGGGGGCAGACTTAACCAATAAGCAGGGTAAGCAGTTGCTTAGGGCTGAATTAAGGAGCCCCAACCAATGCAGTCTATTAATTATACAGCTTAATTATTCTATCATATGTTGTACAATCTTTCTTCAACCATTAAGATTTTAATTTTATACCTTCTTTTCTAAACCCTCCTTTCTTCCAAGTGCACATGCAAATATAATTAACAAATCACAAGTACAGCTAATTAACTACATAGTTTGTAAACTTGTTTTTTATTTGTGAATGTATTGTATTTAGTTTTACATTAAAAACAATCCACTTAAAATATTTTTAACATACACTTTACTTACTCAAAAAAGGAGAGTTTTGAGTTTAAATGCTAAGGCCCCATACCTGGAATTGCTTAGGGTCTGCGTATGTCAACCCCTACTAACACAATGAGAGGGTAGTAAATTCGCCCAGAGTGTTAAAACATTAAGTTTTTTTTCAAAGCATTTTTTCAAAATATGTGTCTAAATAAGTTGTCACCAAAAATCATTCTATTTGCTGAAACCGAGAAAGTAGGGGGCAAATTAAGAATGAATGAAAACAGGGTTAACGGGGTGTACAAGAGTTAACTGAAGAAAAAAATCATAAAAAGTTTGAAACCACTTATGTGTCAGTACATGGTGAGGAAATGTTGATTTTTGGGTGAACTATATCTCTTCAACAAGATTAACATTGAGTGTAAATATATAAAAGGAAGAGAATAGGCAGGACGTAGTGGATGATTCTGAGCCACCGAGCGCCCCCAAGAGGAAGTAATGTGACAGTGTCGTAAGAAACAACATCATTAAAGCCCAATGTTTCAGTTCAGATCTACTTGATCTACGTGGAGCTCTCTGCCTCCTCCTGCCGCTCTCTAGCTTTACTGAATCTGCCTCATCAGTCCAAGATAGCGGACAGTCAGGAAGCCAGCGGTAATGAAAGGAAGCAGAAAACACCCGAGATAGCTCGATATAAACCAAACCTGACAACGTAAGTGCTGCTATTTAATTGTGAATAGCTCCAGATGGATTAACCCAAATAGAGCATCAACTTTTCACGTATAGACAGCGAGTGCCGCTATAACGCATGTAATAGACTTAAGTCAAAGGAAAGCTAAAGAAATTAGCTTCTATGTATCGATATCACACCATGTTTCTGTAATACTATAATTTACCATAAACAAACGTAAATATTTAGAGTATCCCTTTAAAATAGTGGCCCGTTAATGGCCTGTAATGTTGTTTATCCCTAGTAACGGATTTATTGGAGAACTGATCTGCCAATCAGTGGCTGTGTTTCAGCCTAGTGAGCTGTTTACCTAAACAGTTTTTACATTCGAACTAAGATGTCGTAAACATTTCGGCTCTAGCGTTAAGACCACCTAAAATGGTAATCAGCTAACGTTAACTAGGTCGTTATCTAATATGATAGAGCTGTCATCTCCCGTTTAATGTGTCATTTAAATATATGCCGACTTTTCCAGATGTCCTGTTTAAAGGGGCTCCTCACCAGCTGCCTTGTGTTGGCGAGTGTGCTTTCCTGGGCCCAAGCAGTGCCAATAAGTATAGATAAAACAAAGGTGAAGATCCCTGAGGAAACAGTCAAAGAGCCCCCTCAGAGTGTGGTAAGATATTTAATCAGTCGATTACATAACAGGCTCTGGCAGCGAGTCGTAAGTAGTCTTGGAGTGCCAGGTTGTATTAATATGTGTGGTTATTTTTGTGTGGGCTATAAGCTCACACTTTAAAAAAAAAAACATTTTCAGAAAATACATCATTGGATGTTTGTTGTAAAAAAATAAATGAATAAATACATTCGACAATGTATGTACTTATGGCTAATATTTCATATTTGTAGGACACTGGACTACATTATGACCGCTATCTCAGAGAAGTTATTGATTTCCTTGAAAAAGATCAACATTTTAGAGAAAAGCTCCACAACACGGACATGGAAGATATAAAGGTAAGAAGCAGCATGGCTTTATTTGTGTTTTTGTTTAATACAAAGGTCACGCAGAGCTAATCTGTTCATTCCTGCTGATTTTAGCAAGGGAAGTTGGCTAAAGAGCTCGACTTTGTCAGCCACCATGTGCGAAGCAAGCTGGATGAACTAAAAAGGCAAGAAGTCAGTCGCCTGAGAACCCTGATCAAGGCCAAGCAAGACATCGAAGGAGGAAACGGTAAGATTTAAAAGTAAATGTAAACAGTTTACAGTAAAAGTAAACTGAATTGAATGAACGCTTGGGGTAATTACACATAAATAATGTATAATAGCATATTAATAAATGAACAGATGGCTTTACTGTGGCTCAGTGATTAGCACTGAAGCCTCACGGCAAGAAGGTCACTGGTTTGAGTCCCGGCTGGGTAAGTTGGCATTTCTGTGTGGAGTTTGCATGTTTTCCCTGTGGTCACGTGGGTTTCCTCTGGGTGCTCCAGTTTCCCCCACAGTCCAAAAACATATGCTATAAATGAATTGCACAAACTAAATTGCCCATAGTGTATGAGTGTGTGTGTGGATGTTTTCCAGTACTTTGTTGCAGCTGGACGACATCTGCTGCGTAAAACATATGCTGTAATAGTTGGCGGTTCATTCCGCTGTGGTGACCTCTGATAAATTAGATTAAGCTGAAGGAAAATGAATGAGTGAATAAATGAACAGAATAATATATCACACTAATTAAATCAACACTGAGAGGGTCTTTATTTCCGATCGTTCTTTAAACAGAGTTCTCTCTCATGTTTGTCAGATATTGCGGTGGATCACCAGGCGTTACTCAAACAGTTTGAATATCTGAACCACATGAACCCGCATACATTTGAGGTTGAGGATCTGGACAGACTCATCAAATCGGTAAGTCACTACTTAAAGTCAGCCAGCATCTGTCACTTTAAATGCTTGTATGTATCTTTTTATTCATTCTAGATTTACAATTTAAATATATTTACTGTTGCATAAAACTGAGATATTTCTATTTAAAGCCATTTGCAATCACTAGATAAAGATTGTAAATGTAGACCATGTGTAGTCATTATAAATCATTTCATAGTGTATTAATTCACACAAGAACCTGATCTAATCACACAAGGACTGATCTAGAGCTAGAGAAAAATAGTCACTGGGGAAATATTACTTTATACAGGCCTTCAAAGTGCCCCTATTATAAAACTTTATAATCCTGCAATCTATTTACATTCATCCACAGTCAAACAGACTTTGATTTTCAAAAGTATAGATTATAGATTACAGCATCGCCTCATTTCTTACAGTGTTTGAAACAGTCCATTCAAGAATCCAGCCTAAAGCCTGCCATTCTTCTCTGGTAGGTCAGGTGACGCTTGCTGTTGTAATTGGTTTAACGCTTGTAGCATATGTCAGAAACCAAACAAACATCAGCTTCAGAGATTTCCCCAGTACATGTTTACACATTGAAACAAACAATAAGAATTCTGTTTGTTTTACTGTATCAGTCTTAAAGAGACAGTTCAAGTGTTTCTTTAGACCAGGGGTCACCAATCTCGTTCCTAGAGCAGGGCTCGAAATTGCGACCATTTTGGTCGCATATGCGCCCGAAAATTAATCTATGCGACCTCATAATATATTTGGGCGCATTAGTGCGACTGCTGATAATGGTTGTAGTGCGACCTGTTTTGATTTTTTGTAAAAACGTGCTGAATCGCTCTTCCCTGCCGCTATATTGGTTCAGCTGTCAATCACTCAAGGTATTCCGCTGTCAGATGACAGGGAAGGAGCTTTTATGACCACGGGAAATGCAAACGGCTGAAGAGTAAAAACTTAAAGCACACAGGTTTGCAAACCCCACCTAAAATTGAGGTGCAGATGAGAGCGATCATGACACGTCACATGGTGAATAATGATCCGCCAGCTGAGATCAATCGAGTACGCGCTTCATGGAGAAGGCGCCCGAATCTCCATGCGTTGCATTCACTGCGTGTTCAGCGCAAATGTCCGCTAAAAGTCAAATCTAATACTGTACATATCATCGCCAAAGAAGCTCGCCTTTACTAAGTTTACACTGAAACTGCGTCTCATAACAAACAGCGGTATTCCGCCGGTGGTCATCGCAAGAATCTTGCGCTGCCTGCTCATAAATTGGGTCGGCTGACTCGCCAGCTTTTCCACTAACACAGAAAAATGAAGATCATCTCAGACTGAACCTTTAAATTGACACAAACTGAAACCAAATCTTTTAAAGAGTGATAGAAGTGAGACTTTACTTTCTTTCTTTTGTCTATTCTTTTTTGAGGTGTATATTATTTTTATTTTTTATTTAGTTACTGATGACTGCTTTGCAGCTTTCATCATTGAATTGAATGATTTATTATAATATTTTGTTTGTTTTGTAGCAGAAATATTATTTATTAAATTGACATGCATATAAAAACAGCAGTACAAAATAAATATTTCTTACTGCAATGCTTAATTTTTGTTTGATGCAAACTATACATTTATTTTTCATAAAGTAACAGACTTTTTATAGCAGATAACCTACATTCATGCACATTCAAGGCAGTATCATAATGAGAAATGTAATTCATTTTTACTATTATTGTCATTTTCATCATCACTAATATTCTATAGCCTAATTATTAGACATTCATTTTGGAATTATTGCACACAAATATCAATGTCTTCGCAGCATTAGTTAGATAGTTGTTTCTGGTTTTTGTCAGTCCTATTGATGTTGTTTTAAAATACAATAAATCCCTTAAAAAGCAATTTGCAGCGGTGCTCAATCATTTTTGGTGGGTGCTCCTAAATTTTTTCTGGTGCTCCTAAATTTATTTTGGTGCTCCTAAATATTTGAAGTTGGGAGCACCGGTGCTACCAAGTAAAAAAGTTAATTTCGAGCCCTGCTAGAGGTCCGGTGCCCTGCAGGGTTTAGCTCCAACTTGCCTTAACACACCTGCCTGGGTGTTTCAAGTATACCTAGTAAGACCTTGAATAGCTTGTTCAGGTGTGTTTGATTAGGGTAGCAGCTAAAATCTGCAGGACACCGGACCTCCAGGAATAAGTTTGGTGACCCCTGCTATAGACCATTTTAATGTGGTGATGTCATTGGCCCATGAACATGTGCTGCTTGTTATCAAACTATTTCATAACTGTAACAACAGGCAATTCAATCATAACTTAATTTTAAAACGGCTATCATAACATTATTTATCAATACGTGGCTCTTTTTGGATTCTCTGGAGCTAAAGAAATTAAAAATGTAAAAAAGGAAAGACGTTGCGACCAGTGTTTTTGTTTACATCCCTCAAAATATCTATACCTTTATGAATTTCTTTCTTCTGTAGAACACAAGATGTTCTGAAAAATGCTGGGAAAAAATAGCCACTGACATCCATAGTAAGATCAAAAAAAAAATACTACGGAAGTCAGTGTTTTCCCTTCCACACTCTTCAGTTTATCTTTCTTTGTGTTCAACAGAAGAAAGAAACTCAAACAGGTTTGGAACAAGTGGAGGAAGAGTAAATGATCACAAAACATTTTATTTTGGGGTGAACTGTCCCTTTAACCCACTTTTTCATCCTTTAAAAAACAAGTGAAATTGGAAAACAATATCTTTTTACATGTCAACAACACACACACCAAACTCTTTCAGGCCTCACCTCAGTGTTTGAGTGTCAAAGCAGATATTTTTTACAGTTGGCCAATAAAGACCGGCGTTATGCAAATTTGTTAAAAACATACAAACCCTTTGTAGGTTAATATAGGAGGGCTGTAATTATTTCCATATTTGCCATTTACTTTGAGCTTGGACCCTATTGCCAACAGCTTAATAAACAGTACATGACATGTAATATTTGAAAAAAAAAAAAGTATGGCGGGGCACTTTAAAATCCCTTAATATTTTTTTTTCTATGACCTAAAACAGATTATGGTAGTTAAAATATCACAAAAGTATATATCTCTTACTAATTTAAGAAACACATGTGTCAAGGATTTCTGGAGTATTCTAAAAACACTTTAAAAGAACATTGCATAATCAATCTTCAGCCTGATCAGATTAGCCTGTACTTTTTTCTAGTAAAGCCTTCATGGCCATTTTCCTTTCTCATTTGAGCAACAGTAGCAAAACAGCTTTCATAATAAAACCAAAATGATCTTTCAGTCACATTTACAATCTTGTAATACAGGCTACAAAAGATCTGGAGAACTACGACAAGGAGCGGCATGAAGAATTTAAAAAGTACGAGATGATGAAAGAGCACGAGAGAAGGGAACATCTGAAGACACTTGATGAAGATGGCAGGAAAAAAGAGGAGGAACACTATGAGGAGATGAAAAAGAAACATGCCGATCACCCCAAAGTCAACCATCCCGTAAGTCTCAAAGTATCAACGTCTCAATTATGTTTATTTAATAAGGTTTTGGAGGAACACAAAGTAGCACAATGGGGGGATTGTTATAAATATGCATAACCAACTTGGCTTTGTCCCAGGACAATTTTCAAAGATCCCTCATGCCCTACACTATCTAATTCATTCATTTTCCTTCGGCTAAGTCTCTATTTCAAAGGTCGCCACAGCGGAATGAACCACCAAAGATTCCGGTATATGTTTTTATGCAGCAGATGCTCTTCCAGCACATAACATTAGCACCTATACACACTCATTCACACACACTCATACACTACGGCCAATTTCATTCATTCATTCATTCATTTATTTTCTTTTCGGCTTAATCCCTTTATTAATCTGGGGTTGCCACAGTGCAATGAACCTCTAACTTATTCAGCATATGTTTTAAACAGCGGATGTCCTTTCAGCTGCAACCCATCACTGGGAAAACTACGGCCAATTTAGCTTATTCAATTAATCCAGTGTCTTTGGACTGTGGGGGAAATCAGAACACCAGGATGAAACCCACGCAAACACAATGAGAACACAATGAGAAATGCCAACTTGCCCAGCTGGGACTCGAACCAGCGACCTTTTTGCTTGAGGTAACAGTGCTAACCACTGAGCCACTGTGCGGTCTTCCTACCCCATCTCTTCTCTCTTAATTATTCATATCTCAGATAAGCATATGGGGGGAACAACAAAGTGTGCCTGGACCAAAATTGCAAGCTTTGAACCCTCCCCTCGGTCTGCACGCAAAACAAATACATAATTTTTACTAAGACTTTTTATATTTGATATATAATTGCATGGATAAAAATTAAAAAGTCTATGGTTTATATTATGCTTTATCATTTATTTTGCAGTAACACAAAATGATTACAGTTATACCTTCTCATAATTTGCATTGTCACAATACAAATCACCATTTCGGGTATGAGGACAGAATAAATAACAGCACTGTGAGAAAGTTGCCATTTTTAAGAGTGCAGTGTTCACATTTTGCAGTTTATTTAGCAAAGTATTTTGTAATTTTTTTTTTATTTTGGACTTGAAACCATGTTTTAAATTTTATTAACATTTATTTCATAGATGTTCACATATGAATGAGTATATACTTTAAAATTTAAACATGAAATCCTTTGGGTTATATATCCTTTGGTTCTATATCATGACATATAGTAGTCAACAATTGAAATGAATCAAAACCTTTCATCAAAATTTTTCCTAAAACTATTCACATTTGTTTGTATATCACTTTTTACAAACATTATTGTTTTAAAACAGCTTTTCAAAAGGTGCACATTATTGCATTCATCAAATTCAGAAAGTTAAGGTTATTCCACTCGAAAAACTCACTTATGACTTGCATGAAAAAGTCTGATGGCAGCTATGGACACCTTTTTGGCATTATTCCTTGCCTTATTGTATTATGTTGTTTACTTGTTTGTATATTTCCCTTTTTTTCTACTGTATAGCTAAGACCATTTGTATGTGCTGATTTTAAAATAACAGACGATTAATAAAATAAAGAAAGGTTATTAAGGGTATTACTGTAGTTACCTTAATTTTATTCGTTATTATTAACTTTAAGTAATTAACTAGAAACTATTCGCTTTAGTCAGTTAAAGTTATTATATATATATAAGCATAGTTAACCTGCTAAGGTTATATAGTATGTAGTCAAATGTTGACTACTGTATATCATTTTTAGGATATGAGATGACTTAAACCATGATGAGATATTTTAGCATGCGAGCATAAACCTGTGACATGTTTGTAATTTCATTGAGGATATACTCATGTTTCACGCTCATTAGGGTAGCAAAGACCAGCTAAAAGAAGTGTGGGAGGAGGCAGATGGCCTTGACCCTGAAGATTTTGACCCCAAAACGTTTTTCAACCTGCATGGTAAAATATTATTTATAATTTCTGATAAAGCCTAGATTTAAAATTCTGAAACAACCTGCTTGATGATAATTATATTTTGAATTCTAGACACAAACGGAGATGGCTTCTTTGATGAACAAGAACTGGAATCCCTATTCACTAAGGAGGTGAAGAACTGTAGCTATCATTAGAGGCAAAAAATACATATAAAACGCCTATTATAGTTACATAGAGTAAAAATGAAATTACTTTTCATGACCTTTCAGCTGGAGAAGATCTATGATCCAACTAATGAAGAGGATGACATGGTGGAAATGGAAGAGGAGAGGCTGCGAATGAGAGAACACGTCATGAACGAGGTTGTAATAATGATGCCAATTAGGGCAAAAATAGAGCAGATCTCCTTGCATGACCTTCAGGAAGATCATTGGAAAAATATATATAACTTCATCTGAAATCATCTGACTTTTATAGGTCGACTCCAATAAAGACAGACTGGTGTCCCTAGATGAGTTTCTGGTTGCCACAAAGAAAAAGGAGTTTCTTGAACCAGACAGCTGGGAAGTAAGTATAGAGAAAATGACACATCATAAGATATCTGCTCAATGTCAGCTCCTGCAGTCAATGTGCAGATTTTCACTGTTAGAGGATTGGCGTAAAGGTTTTTACAATGTCAAAATTTCAGTTGGCATAAGCTGTAAATGAAAACTTACTATTCATAATTAAAAAACATTTCATTAGATATTTCAGCCAAAAGCGAATTCCCACAGGCCATCAAAGATGTAGGTTAGTTTTTTTTTTTCTTGAGCAAAACATTAAAGATTTTAAGCTGAAACTTTGGTCCCTTGTGATTCATAAAATGAAACTCAACTTTAATTTTGAGAGTCAAACAAAACATACAGGAAAAATATAATTAATACCCACTGTCCCTGATCATTGAAATTTTATGATTCAACAAGGGCCACAATTTTACATAAAATAAACGTATTTATTGTTGTACTTAAGAAAAACAAGTCAGTTTGGGATCAACTCTAACTTTAATAAATAAGAGTATTTATTCATTCATTGATTTTCTTTTGGCTTAGTCCTTTTATTAATCAGGGGTTGCCACAGAGGAATGAACCACCAACTTATCCTGCATATGTTTTATGCAGCGGATGCCCTTCCAGCTGCAACCCATCACTGGGAAACACCCATACACTCTCATTCACACACATATACTACGGACAATTTACCTTACCCAATTTACCTGTACCGCATGTCTTTGGACTTGTGAGGGAAACCAGAGCACCCGGAAGAAACCCATGTCAACATGGGGAGAACATGCAAACTCCACACAGAAATGCCTAAATACTGGTATATAAAGTAAATTATAATTAAAGAGTTTAAAGTAAGATATACACTCACCGGCCACTTTATTGGGTACACCTTACTAGTACTGGGTTGGACCCCCTTTTGCCTTTAGAACTGCCTTAATCCTTTATGGCATAGATTCAACAAGGTACTGGAAATATTCCTCAGAGATGTTGGTCCATATCGACATGATAGCATCACACATTATGCGAATCTCTCGTTCCACCACATCCCAATGTTGCTCTATTGAATTGAGGATCTGGTGACTGTGGAGGTCATTTGAGTACAGTGAACTCATTGTCATGTTCAAGAAACCAGCCTGAGATGTTTTGCAGTTTTTTTTTTATACACACAAACATATTTTAAATAATGCTGGAAACCTATAGTGTATAGTTCTATAGTATATTTTTCTACTACAGATGTCATTGGCTACTAGTTTTCAAGATTCTTCAAAATATTTAAGTGTGTTTAAAAGTAAACACGTTTAGAATCCATTGAGAGCGAGTAAGTTTTCATTTAGGGTCAATCCATCCTTTGCACAAATAAAAAAATGGTGCTTAATCTTCAAAATGTCCAATAAATAATGATATTGGGCCGTTTGATGTCTTTTAGACTCTGGAACAGAACCAGGCATACACTGAAGAAGAGATGAGAGAGTTTGAGGAACAGTTGGTCAGACAGGAGGAAGACCTGAACCAGAAAGCAGCCGATCTTCAGAAGCAGAGAGAGGATCTGGAGCGGCAGCAGGAGCAGCTCAATGCACAGAAAATTGAGCTGCAGCAAGTAAGAACTGATTTTTCGGGTGTCACTTGACTGACTGAGAAACATAGAAAAAATTAAAGCAAGTGAATGACATTTTCTGTGTCTTGTGTATCAGGCTGTGGAGCATATGGAGAGGCTAAAAACACAAAAGGTGCCACTTCCATCTGAGATCTGTAAGTAATACTTTCACTTGAGAATCAGATAGAAATAAACTCAAGCAAGAGTTACTTAGGGTTTTTATTTTTACATTTGGCCTTTAACATGGGTCACATGATGTGTGTTTTTTTCTGGAGAGGGTTAAAGAAACACTTGAGTTATTCTAAGGTTTTAAGTTTCATGACTATACGTTAAAGAGTGAAAAAAATTGTCACACCATTATTTCCTAAATACATCAATTTTAGACAATTGAATTGAAATATAACACTAAATAAAAGTAACATTCTTGGCAAATATATATAGATTTTTTTACTTTTTAAATGCAATATTTTAAATAGCAACATTTAGGATAAAATTTTAAGAACATTTTAAGGTAACTAGGGTTAGGAGATTAATCGAAATATAATCAGTCATGATTTAGGAAAATCTGTAATCGTCACACATCTTGTAAAGGAAAGCACGCTTGTGTGATCAGTAGCAAACTTCCTCTGAAAGCTAGAGAGTGCAATTGAGCAGAAACTCCAAATATGTCAGAAAAAGAAACCTAGGAAATGATTAAAGTTGCTGAATAAACAGATTTAACTGCTTCAAATCATTGATTTAATGTGACTAATAATCACACAACTACTGAATCCTCTCATAATAATAAAAAAAACAAACAAACGTAAAACACTCTTGCAATTAATTTGGAGTAAAAAATGTTACTAACCGTGGTCAGGCCCGGATTAAGAATTCAGAGGCCCCTGGGCACAATGTCTTGTAGGACCCCTACCTGCCCGCACCCCTACAGTTGATTTAAAAAGTAAGATTAATAAAATATTTTTAAATAAAATTAATCTATAATGTATTGCCCGCATTTTTAAAATGAATGATATTGAATGATACACATTTACTTGACAGTGCGTAGTTCACAAAGAAGCAACGTAAACAGTGATCTGTTTTGCAGAATGATTTCATTATCACATGATTACATAATCTGTGATTATTGCGTAGCTTGTTCGAACTGTGACTCTGTGTAGTAAAGGCTGCTCCATCTGAAAGCACGTTCTGGAGATTTACTACTGATTACAGAACTAGCTTTACTGACAAAATGTGAATAAAAATTGCATTCCATTTAGCACCCAGCCCTAATCTTAACAAAAATTTTAAAACAATTTGAAACATTCAAATAGGTAAAATGTATTAATACGTCACAAAAAATAATAGTAATTGAAGCATCACGATTCTTTCTACAGCAATTCTGAATTGATTCTCAAAAGTTCAGAATCGCGCCATAACCCTAAAGGTTAAAAAAGAAACAAAAAAGGGTCTAACTTTATAACAAGTGACCTTAACAACTATATACTTGCATCAAAAATAAAGACAATGTAGTTATTGTGTTGTTAATTGCAGAACACTTCTGGTGCTACTGAGGTGGGATACGGGTAAAGTTAGGGACAGGTTTTGTGGTATGGTTTTGTTTAAGTGTGGATTTAGGAGTAAGGGATGGCCAACAGTGCTTCTGTAATCACAGAAGTTGATTTTGGATGTAATTACATGCATATGTTTAATCATCTAAAACTACAATGTAAAAACATGTATTTACCCAAAAGTACATTGTAACAAATGATTAACCTCAGTCTAAGTACATATTAAATAAGGCCACTTAATATAAAATGGGACCAAAAATGTAATGCTATCTTTTTGGAATAAGAACTGTTTGTTCTATATAATCAGTGTCATTTTCAGAGCTTGTTCATGCTCAAAATAACCTTGTTAGGTGTATGATAGAATAAATTATTTTTAAGATGTAAGTGCTCATAAACGAAAGCGAAGAAACTACAATTGTACCTTCGCTAAGCCACACCCAAAAAACGACACCCACCAATCGTGGCTTAGCAACCGCAGCTACACGCAGGAGCTCTGTCGAGCTTTCGAGCAAGGGAAACAGGCCAAAGTGTTATGCATATGGATTGTGCAAAGATTGTGCAAATCTGACACCCGGTATCCTAAAAGTTTGGACGGGATGGTGGAATTTTTTCCCTTTTCAAAACCTAAAACCCAAGAGGAGAAATGCTAGCGTGGATCATTAATATTTGCTGGTAGGGAAAATCTATTTGTTCACTTCTGCTATTTATACTTTAATTTGCATTTCAGTTTATTTATTTCTTCCACTTAACTGCAAATTAGAATAGAAACGGTATAAAGAGCACACAAACATACGTACAGTCAGTGATAGTGTACATTGTTTTGGGTAAATGATGCTATTATTCAGCACAAATCAATCAATTTCGCCTTTCTGGCTGTTTCTATGAATGAATTATGTTGTAGCACTGTCCATGCGTGTTTCCTCGTCGGTTAGTAATGCTATATTTCATTGCACAACAATTAATCTATCAGGCTTTTTGGCTAAAAAAGTGAAATCAGTGTTTAATTAGTTATTACTGGATTCTTTATAATTTCACCTCTCCTGCTGTGCATGAACTGAGCTGTTAAATGGTTAGCATATGAGGCGGCTAGTCTAAGCTAGCTTCAATTTTGATTGAATTTTTTTCTAATCGGTTGCCTATTATGTCGTGAATATACCCCTGTAATGCCTACTGCAGTCCTCTTTTGTCTGGCTTTCTCGGATATCTCACCTGTTTGCCAAAATTGACTAATTATACCCATGTCAATGTCTGACACTGGCGCATACACATTCTAATAGACGTTGCAGATACAAATGCTTGACAGGCGTAGCAAATGTAGCTAAGGAGGGCGGGGCTTAGCGAAGGGTCCATTCTGCTTAAAATTTGGAAAGATGTATTTGCACAGCTGAGCTGAAGTTGTTAAAAAAAGAAAGGTCCTAAATCATTTTGAAATTGAATTGTGACTTCCAGAATCAGAATCGAATCAGATCATCACTAAAGATTGCCAACCTATATGTAGCTATGTTCATTTGCAAATGTAACACCTTATATAATATTACATTCCAGGAAAATATAGTTAAATGTAAAAAATGTAACGCCTCATTTTCAAAATAACATTGTTGGCAGATGCACTTTAAATGAAATGCATCATTTTGACATAAAACTCTTTGAATCTCTCCTAACAGTGGAAGGAAATGCAGTCCCAGAGTCAGTAGGACAAGACCAGCCTCCAGTTCCCCTTGAGCACCAGCCATTACCCCCAGGACATCAAGATGTCCCACCACCAGCAGCACAACAACATCACGATGAACTCCAGAATCAACAAGCTCTAGGACAAGAACACCAAAATACACCCCATGAAAACCAGCCACTGCCTCCAGGACACAACAACCCACCCGAAGACCCTCCACTGGTGCCCCTTGACCACAACATTGTGCCATAAGAGCGTCATAAAGGGGGATTGTGTGGAGAACGCGCCCTCACAGACACTTCAACAAACAGTACCTCCTGACAAAGAACAAGTCAATGATTATGTGTGCTGCGGTTTTAATTTAGTAAGAAAGTGGCTGGATTCATAAGCATAATGCATTTATTGCAGATTTTGCCGTTTCATATAAGCGTGTTTCTTTTTGTTATTAAAATAAGTTGTGGATATTTTATTCATGGATTGGATGTCTGTGCGTTCGCTTCTGTTTTGCACATTTGTTTTCCTGGAATTTTGATGGCCTACATAAAGTCTAGTTGTGTGGTACCAGAATTTTCTTGAATAGTACTGGACGTTTTTAATTGATTAGGGCTACTCTAAAGTGTAACTGTTGCTTACAGTGGGAATTTTGGAGTAAAGCATCAATAAAAAAATAAGTTTAAAAATATTAAAACATTTTTTTATTAAAGGGATAGATCACCCTGCCATCATTAGCGAAAAACTGAAATATCGCATAAAACATTTGCAAATAAAGCACAGCTTCCATCCAATGAGTCAAAGAGAACAAAATCATGGCCTCTTGATAATCTAGCACCAAATATAAAAAAGAAAAATTGAATTTGCTGTGGTAGATGAAGCCACGGCAGGCCTTTTTTCTTTTATATAAAATTACTTACACCTAACAAGACAAAGACAAAGCGTAATGAATGTGCGGTGGCTTTTGAGGGTGTGATGCCACTCTTTTTGGGAGCACAGATGCTCAAGACACTTGGAAGAATTTCCCTTTCTCCTTTAATGACAGACTTTGGCTAAAGCACTTATTACCTAAAAAAATGACATATTGTAAAATGTAGTCTATTTCCTGGTTTATCTATTAAATAGCCGCTATTTTGGATTTTTGAAAAATTACCTTTCATGCAGTATGCAACGCAGGTCTAAGTGAATAAAAACATCCAGCTGAGTATTAAATCTGAAAGTGCACCTTGTTTAAAACAAAGGCTGCGTCCGAAACCGCACTCTTCCATACTATACTGTACGCTAAAATCAGTATGCGAGCTGAGTAATATGTCCGAATTCATAGAACTCGAAAATCAGTATGCGAGAAGGACCCGGATGACTTATTACTTCCGGAGAGATTCTGAAGTGCGCATCCCATGCACGCTACGCTATCCCATGATGCCCCGCGAGATAATTCATGAATGAGAGTAAAGCAACGCAACTGACGCAGGTAGGTCACGTTAACATGACAAAATGGCGGATGTAGTACATGCGAATTTCATTTATACTTTTTACATTTATACTATACAGAACATACTTTTCTTACGGCCAAGTAGTACATTTAAATTAAAATGCAATTCCTATTGAGTAGTAGTCGGTTTCGGACGCAGCCATAATCTTTTTAATAAAAGATTCGACTCAAAGTCGTTTAAATGATTCGTCGTTCATCTGGATCTCTTGCCTGTTCATGTCAATGTCGACATGAAAAAATACCAAATATGAACTGTCTGATTTGGTAAAACGTGAACACGCCTTTCCCTTCAGACACTAGCAGAGTGCGAGGGATCATATGATTAACCATGATGCGAAGATCACTATCACTGAGAGATGGCCAGACATGCGACTGCAGGGAATAATGATAAGGGTTAAAGTTAATTTTCACAACAACACCACAGTATAGCCAACCGTGTGCTGTTTGTTCCTGTCATTTTTCTGATGACTTATACAATAACGTACGCTGCAACGCGGTATTCGTCGGCCTTTTGCTATTAAAGGAAGGATCAAGCAAAGACTACGGGTCTTCCTACACAACCTGTAAGTGGGATTAAAATGGTTGTCTCGTTTTATGTAGTATACGAAATTAACTATTTATGTATTTAAGAGTTGCAATCGCTTTGCGCGGCATGTAATCACATATCTATTATAGATCAGTGTTTGTACTGAATATCTCAGGTTAAATCAGGATAGTTATTTCACATATCGTGTTCAAAATCACGTTGAAAGTGTGACGCGTGCTTCTTCCTTTACCGATTTAAATGTGTTTTGTGCTCACGATCTTCTGCTATCTGTTTCTATGGCCACCATCAGCTGTTCCTCACACACATGGCGCATTCAATTTTCAAAATAGTTCAACTTTTACCACTGTGTGGATTAATACTGAATGTGTGTTGTTGTTACTACATAGGGTTATGGTTAAGAGTAGAGGAATTTGCTGGTGTTTAACTCCATTGCTTTGTTGCACTCCTGCATTGGGGTCACACATATTCTCTGTGCTCTGAGTACCTCATAAGCGTGTTGGGCATTTCTCTCTGTCTCATGATGAACGCACTAGACCAATCACAACAGACTGGGTCGTCGGCCTTATCAGCGGAAATTAGCCTCATGCTAAGCAGGGGTTTGGGAAGAAATGAATCGGTGAACGAATCATATGGGAGTCGATGGGATAAATAGGTAAAAATAAATGCATATAAGATGATAAAAGTGTTTTTGACCTGGCATCCATATCAGACTGTTGTTGGAGACCCCCCCAAAATCAAAATACGACCTTTTTCAAAGCATAATAGGGGCTCTTTAAAGCGGTCCTATCAGACTATATTTTATCAAACACACATGACTTTTTTGAAGCGCATACTGGATTTAATTCCATAAATGTGTTTCCATTGTAGTTTATGCATTTTTTTTGCGTTGTCATTTAAGAAAATGTTTAAACTGTATAGACATCTTGGCTCTTTAATTCAGCAATTTTATACATGACGTTTTAAATTATGTGGATAGTAATAGCTTTTTACTCGTCCTCCACTTGTTTCAAACCAGTTTGAGTTTCTTTCTTCTGCTGAACGCAACACAAGTTATTTTGAAGAATGTTGAAAAGCAGCATCCAACATTCTCTTCAGACAACTGTGAGTGCACTGAGGAAACACATTTAAAATAATGACCGGCCGTTTGCTTGCATGCGCATTGTGATGTCTCACAGGGCTAATAGTCACTTGACTTGCATTTTGTAAATCACCAAGTATCATGTTTACAGTTCAAAATTTTCTTTAATGTCCTACTAAAGACAAAATGTCTCCTAAGGTTCCTGTTGGCCTGAGGATGAGCAAATCAGCAGCAAAGTTTCATTTTAGACAAGTTTCCTTTTGATTTTAAAATGCGGCTTTTTACCTATAAAGCCTTAAATAATCCAGCTCCTGTTTATCTACCTCCTGTCTCGCTACAATCCAACCCGTACTTTAAGATCTCAAAACTCAGGGCTTCTGGTAGTAACCAGAATAGCAAAGTCAAGTAAAGGAGGTCGATCCATCTCATTTATGGCTCCTAAACTCTGAAATAGCCTTCGTGATAATGTCCGAGGTTCAGACACACTCTCACAGTTCAAAACTAAATACATATTGTTTTTAGTAAAGCATACACTCAGTGCATCACTTAGCGGTATGAAGCATTAATGTGCTCCACATATCTTTATATATATATATATATATATATATATATATATATATATATATATATATATATATATATATATATATATATATATATATATATATACAGACACACACACATTATAAACAGCAGCTACGCGAATGATTTTCTATTTCCACCTTGGGATACTCACCAGAGACTATGCAGTGCCGCTGATGCAATCTAAGACCTGTGAAGAAATGATCCCAAGGCTTCCAGAATCCCGGACCAGGCCGTATCCTGAGCAGCTGCTGTGGTGGTCATGGAGAAGTAGAGCATGCATCTGATTCCTGCGAGTCTCCAGGGACAGAAAGGTTTTTGCTCATGTCCAGTGTTCTCCAGTCCCTGGCACCTAGACTGTAGTTCTGCACAAGACGTTTGGCCACAGGAGAAATGGTTGTGCCCAACTGAGACGTTTTTTTCCTCACCACTGTCGCCACTGGCTTGCATAGTTCAGGACTTGTAGAGCTGCGCATTGATGGATTTGCTCTTCAGTGTTTGAACTCTCATCAGTGAATATTAAACCACACTGAACTAAACTGAAACTCAGAAAACTGAACTGATACTTCAATTCACTATACTTGTCTATGTGAAGCTGCTTTGACACAATCTATATTGTAAAAGCGTTATACAAATAAAGGTGAATTGAATTGAGGAGTAGTTTTTTTTTCTGATCTATCATCAAACCAACGATGTGCGGAATAACTTTTAAAGTGTTGTAATCTTCAAAAATCATTTATTGGTTAGCATTTAGTCTAAATCAACAGTAATTGGAAGAAATACAATGAAGCAGTCATTCAGCCACATACAGTACATTGCATTTCCTGTAAACCATTTGGCAGAGCCAAAATAAAGAAAGAGAAATCACGTTGCAATACAGTACGTACAAGTAAATTCTTCACATTCACTTAACAGTTTGTTTGGCCAAAAACGAAGTGCCTTTGGTATATGGTGTACTTCACATTCATCATCTAGTGGCCATTCCAGCTACTACGCAAGTCGTCATTCCACCAATTAAAATCCAGACACCCATAATCAAAGGCACGTGTTCTGTCTCAAATGTGTAAAGGCTGTGCAATAGCATATGATTGAGAGAAAGCTTTTGAGAGTACAGTGCTGGGAGTGCTATAGTCTCTGATATCGGTTTCCCAAAACCATCGTTTGTGTCCTTACTTGCTAAGATGCAGTCATCTAACTACATGGTCTGGAGTGGCACGGCTCATGTTTGAGAGTCCAAACGGATGGAGGAGATAAAAGGGTGGAACAGGGCTGATAATGGATAAATGGACTGGGTTTAGCTGGTTTGCTGGGCAGCCATGGGACCCATTCCTCTGCTGGACCGATATGATCCCCCTCGTCCTGAAACCCAAATACATCAGAAAATCAATGCAAATAATTGCATTCAGTGATTTCAGTGCCAGTTACAACACTTTCTGTGTGTGTGTGTTTTTTTTTAAATTGTATGCATTTATAAATCACTGAGTTCAGATGCAAAAACCTCCAAAAGCTGTGTGAAATTTCCTTCAAAAAGTAGTATTTTTATCAGGCTCCTGTGTGTAGGGTTAGTCATTTCAGATTTATGGCAAATAATACACTCTTTTAAAGGTCTTTAAAATGAAATAACTCAACATAAACATAGGAGTCTGAGAAAAATACTCATTTTTGATGGACATTTCAGACGACACTTGCAGGTTTTTGCATCTGAACTCTTCATATGGTATAATTATGAGTTAAAACCAAATTTAAACCATATATTATGATTATTTTTTACAAATATAG